AGACAATATTCTTGAACAGTTTTTAATGATTTTATTCAACAAAATCTAAAAGCACTAATAACTAGCTAACTAACAAGATAACATTTAATTCATTTATTCATTCACCACATGGAAAAGCTAGTTTGCTGCCGGAAGTGGAGTTAGTGAGACCTGCAGGGGGGGGCTCAACCCGCGGTCTGTGTAAGTCCTAATGCCCAAGTATAGTGAAGGGGACACTATACTCCTCAGTGAGCAACGTCTCTCAGATAAAACCGTGGTCCTTACTCTCTGTGGTCTTTAAAAATCCTAGGATGTCTTTCGAAAAAGAATAGGGGTTTAAAATTTGCCCACTGGCCTCTTTCTATAATGGTATCTTAACCAACCGTATATCATAATTGGCTTCATCACTCCACCATGTCTCCTCTCAACCAATCAGCTAGTGTGTGGTATGCAATATGGCTGCCGTCGCGTCATCCAGGTGGATGCTGCACACTGGTAGTAGATAACATACTTCTTGAACATTTTCAATTACTCATCAGCCAACCAAAAAACTAATCAACCAACCGACCAACTAGCTAATTACATAACTAATCAACCAACCAACTAACTAACCGACCAATCAGCCAACCAAAAATCAAACCAACCAAACAACCAACTAATTGACTAACTAACTAACCAACCAACCAACCAACCAACCATCCATCCAATAATCCAACTAACTAACCAACCAACCAACCAGCTAAACAACTAACTATCCAACCAACCAACTAACCAACCAACCAGGAATCCAACTAACCAACCAACCAGCTAATTAACTAATCAATCAACCAATCAGCCAACCAACCAATAATCAAATCAACCAACTAATTGACTAGCTAACAAACCAACCAACCAACCAAGAATCCAACCAACCAACTAATTGACAAGCTAACCAATCAACTAACTAACCAACCAACCAGCCAACCAAGAATCCAACTAACCAACCCACCAACCAGCTAATTAACGAACAAACTAACTAACTATTCAACCAACCAACCAACCCACCAACAAACTAACCAACCAATCAGCCAACCAACCAAGAATCAAACCAACCAACCAATTGACTAACTAACCAACCAATCAACTAACTAACTAAACTACCACTTTAAAACAAACTAACTAATCAACCAACCAACTAATCAAACAACCAATCAACCAGCTAACTAGCATATTTCATTCATTCATTATATTCAGTCTATATTATTATGAAAAATTGTTTATTTAATTTTGTAAGTGCTTTTTTGTTTTATTATTATATTTTGTTTTATTATTAAAGATGCATCATCAATATTTCAGTTTTCACTTATTTTATTTAATAAAATCTAAACCCACTAATTACTAACTAACCAACCAACCAACCAACTTATTCATGTATTGTGGAATGTATTAATTAAATAACTAACTAATTCATTCATTCATTCATTCATTCATTCATTCAAAGTCTATATATAGGTTGAGGACAAACTGTTTAAATCTAATTCATTGAGGTATAAAATAACACTTTAAATCCCTCCAGGTACTGCACATGTACTGTGCAGATTTTTCCCTCAGTATCTGCGCTTTCAGTTGAGCATTTCTATTCTCGAGTACCTTTTTCACACCTCTTTCTTCGGATATAAAAGTAAGGAAGACAGCGGCAGTCTGTGAATCATCTTCTGACTGAAGGTCCTGCAGAGGATCTGTTCACTGCCGCATTATTGAACAGCAGTCTGAATGAAAACTTAACAATAACACCGAGAGAAAAGAACAGTATTGACAGCAGATCAAGCCCACGGAAAACACAAACAAACACCGACAGACAACTCCTGTACCTAAACATCAAACCAAGAGGATTTCAGACTCCAGTTATGTCCAGCGCTGCTCCATTGAGCTCTTTTGTTAGGGATTATGCAATTATGTTAGTCTGAATTTAAATGATCTACTTTTAATTAAATATTATATCTAAGGAAGGGTTTATTATATATTTTAATTAAGCAACGGATTAATGTGTTGTGAAAGCAATGCAGTTATTATTATTTTTTATTTTTTTTGATAAACAAACATGCTCGAGTCTATCATCATGCGTCATCATTTCCAGGTGCAAACATCACTGTGCTAATGTAAAAATGTGGTGTAATTATACCAAAATAAAACAAATGAATCACGACTGTCACATTTATCTCCACGCTGAAATCTCAAGACGGCCAGACAGAGATTCATCATTTATGATTTGTTAAAATATTTGCATCTGAGACGCTGAGAGAACAGAGGCTCTGCTGTAAACTGTGAGCTTTTTATTTGTTTAATGAGGATCATGAATGGTAAATAAAATCATATTCACAGCTTAAAGATCTTAAATAAAATATAAAAATTACACAAATAAACAAGCACAAAGCAGTAAAACGGATATTTAAACTGGAAGTCGATTATAGAACAGAATGTATCAATAAAAGTTCATGACCTCGGTTTAAGCACAAGCTATGAATTCTAATAAAAACTGATGCTATAAATGCTGATGTCAAAATTAATCCGACTTTGTTGAAATTTTAGTTATTTGATATTATATGAGCATTGCATTCACAAGCTCAACAAAAAGCTGAGCAAAAAAAAATAAGGAAAATGTATGGAAATAAAAAATAAGCTATTAAATAAACCTCTCCTTTACTCTCAGTTTTGCGTTTGTCACCACAAACGACTGATAGACCTGCCCCCAAAATGACTGACATTGTCACGCAAAATGACTGATAGTCTCGCACCAAACAACGTAAAGCCCCGCCCCCAAACTGCATGATAGTCCCGCCCCAAATTACTGATAGCCCCGTCCATAAAACTACTGATAGTGTTGCCCAAATGACTGATAGTCCCGCCCCAAATTACTGATAGCCCCACCCCCAAAATGAACGATAGTTCAGCCCAAAATTACTGATAGTCCCACCCTAAATGACTGATAGCCCCACCCCCAAAATGAATAATAGTTCAGCCCAAAATGACTGATAGTCCCACCCTAAATGACTGATAGCCCCGTCCCCAAAAATGACTGACAACTCTGTCCCCAAAATGAATGAGTCCCACCCAAAATGACTGATAGTCCAGCCCAACTGACTGATAGCACCGCCCCCAAAATGACTCTTAGTCCTGCCCAAAATGACTGATAGCCCTTAAGCTGCCGTCACACTGGGCTTTTCCTCCCATAGACTTCCATTCATACGCACGCGAATGCAGCAGACTGGAAACGCAGGGTCATGCGTCAAGTTTCGCAGGTTGCTGCGATGCAAAGTTCAAGCTTCAAAACATGACCTCTCTGGACAGAAGTTTAAAACATGGAGCAATCGCTCGCTTTTTTATGTCTAATAAGCTAGTTTAATCCTGCCCCTTTTCGCCACACCACACGACAGAATATCGCATGCTCAAACTCTAATGTGACCACAGCTTTACCCCCATAATTAATGATAGTCCCACCCAAAATGACTGATAGCCCCGCCCCCAAAATGACAGCTAGTGTTGCCCAGAATGACTAAGTCCTACAAAAAATGACCGATCATCTTGCCCCAAACAACTGATAGCCCCGCCCCCAAAAGGACTGATGGTGTTGCCCGAAATGACTGATACTCCTACCCCCAAATTTAATTATATTCCCATCCTGAATGAATGACAGCCCCCGTCGCCAAAATTAATGATAGTCCCGCCCAAAAAAACTAATAGCCCGCCCCCAAAATGAACGTTAGTCCTGCCCAAAATGACTGACAGTGTCGCCTAAAATGACTGATAGTCCAGCCCCAAACGACTGATAGCACCATCCCCATAATAAATGACAGTCCCGCATAAAATGACTGATAGTTTCATCCCAAATGACCGATAGTCTGGCCCCAAAAATGAATGACAGTTCCACCCAAAATGACTGATAGTCCTGCCCCAAAGGACTGAAACCCCCGCCCTAAAATAAATGATACTTCACTCAAAATGACTGGAAGTTGTCCCAAACAACTGATAGCCCCACCCCCAAAATGAATGATAGTCCAGCCAAAACTACTGATAGCCCCGCCCCCAAAATGAATGATAGTCCAGCCAAAACTACTGATAGCCCCGCCCCCAAAATGAATGATAGTCCAGCCAAAACTACTGATAGCCCCGCCCCCAAAATGAATGATAGTCCAGCCAAAACTACTGATAGCCCCGCCCCCAAAATGAATGATAGTCCAGCCAAAACTACTGATAGCCCCGCCCCCAAAATGAATGATAGTCCAGCCAAAACTACTGATAGCCCCGCCCCCAAAATGACTGATAGTCCAGCCAAAACTACTGATAGCCCCGCCCCCAAAATGACTGAAACTACAGAAGACTCACGTTTAAAAAGGAAAATGTTCTAAGTTATATGATGCTAATGGTCTAATCCAATTGAATGATCTATGCTAAGCTAAGCTAAAAGTACTTTGGCCAGACCTGGAGATTGTCTTTTAGGTAAATGGTTGCAAACAATTGATATGGGCTGAGTATTTACAAACAAATTTAATTTTGTAATGTTCAACTCTATTTGTTTGTTAAGTCCAGCCCATTTGAATTGTTTGCAACCACTTACTTTAAAAATATTTACTAAATTCAATTAATATTTTTTCAGTATATGTAACAATGTAAATTACATGTAAAAAATAATGCATTTTTTAAAAAATCATTAAACATAAGAGCATGTTCGATACTAGCTGTGTCCAAACTCGGTCCTGGAGGGCCGGTGTCCTGCATAGTTTAGCTCCAGCTTTCTCCAACACACCTGCCTGGAAGTCTTGTATACCTAAAAACAGCTTGATTAGCTGGTTCAGGTGTGTTTAATTGGGGTTGGAACTAAAATCTGCAGGACACCGGCCCTCTGGGACCAAGTTTGGACACCCCTTTTCTATACACCCCAAAACAATATCAAGACTTTGTAAAAACGCATAATAAAACCCCAGTAAAAGCAACCCCACATTTCTGCCACTATCTGCTGTGTAAATGTGAGTTCTGGCACTCACAGAAGCACATGTCGAAGCGCAGGCCCACATGCATGTCAATAACTGATCCATGCACAGAGATCCAGCGGCGACGCTCCAGGCCAGACTGCTCTGCAATTTCCCCAGCTATTCTTAGCTCTGTGATGCAGAAGCTGAATGAGGATTTATGTGGGACGCTGTGAGGGTCCTGTGGCCACAGTAAAGAGTTCTCGAGATATGCAAATGAGCTTGCAGTTTTCACCACACGACACTTCACATTCAGAGACTGCCATTTATTCTAATACAGTCCCGTTAAAGAGCATTTAAAGAGACAGTGCATGCAAAAAAATGCACTGATGCACTTAACTGATGCTTCACTTGTCCATATAACAGAAGCTTTTTGTTATGAACCAACATTATTTGTTTGCAAGAGCATGCAGTTTTTAACCACACAACATTTCACATTGAAAGACGCCCATTTATTTTAGTATCTTCCCGCTAAACAGCATTTAAAGAGACAGTGGACCTAAACATTCACTGATGCATCAGGTAGATGGTTCATTTTGTACATATAACAGAAGCTATTCCTTTGCAAATGAGCGTTTAGTTTTCACCATACGACATTTCTCATTGAAAGGCTCCCATTTATTCTAATACAGTCTCGATAAAGAGCATTTAAAGAGACAATGCATGCACACTGATGCATTTAGATGCTTCATTTTTACATGTAAGAGAAGTTATCTGTTTGCAAATTAGAATGCAGTTTTTCCCTCACGACACTTCACATTCAGAGGCTGCCATTTTTTTAATACAGTCCCACTAAAGAGCATTTAAAGAGACAGTGGATGCAAACAATTGCATTGATGCATTTAGTAGATGCTTCATTTTTACATATAAAGGAAGCTATTTTTTGGAGTGTTACAACCGAGGGCTCTATCATACAGCCGGCACAATAATGCACAAGACGTGTTTGGTTTGCTTTAGACTTTGTGCCTATGTCTTTGTAATAGGGCCCCCAGTGTCTGTGCCTGTATTTTGTATTTTGTCTAAAGCAGCCATTTCTTAGGTTCGTCAGTTTTAGCTCCAACTCCAGTCGATTAAATTCCCAATGACTTCACTACCACTGCCCAATCTGAAGAGAAGTTCCCCAATTTAAAAGGACACCGGTGTGGAAGAATGCTAGCTTGCCTTCGCTTGCTCACTCACCTGTGATTGTGCTTTTGCTGGGTTGTTTTGCCAGTTTCTGATGTTGTGTTAATAACAGAAAACAATATAAACTGAAAATATTAGTTGGATATATTGATTTTTGAGGGGTGTACTAATACATGCTGAGCACTGTGAATATAAACATTTTAAAAATACATAAACATTAGCAAACTGACAATTTAATAGATAAATATGTATGTCTTTGTGCAATATTTTGATTATTGAAACTGGTTAAAACCTGCTGTAATTTTTGTTTTGGACACAGTAATTTTATATATATATATATATATACACACACACACACACACACTCGAACACACACAAAACAGTTGGATCTCGAATCTGATTGGCTGATAGCCGTGATATATTTAAGTAATATCAGCATCCGTACAGCCTCTTTACCCTTTGTGTATTACTCCGCCCACATACAGCCAGCAACAAGCAGATACTACAGTTTGACAAATATTACTGCTGTTACACAACAGAATATACTTTTGATGCTTTTTTAGTCGAGTATGTAGTTGTTTAGATTGCTACTATCTGGTTTATTTGCAAGAATAGTGCCTACTTAAAAATACCTACAATTTCTGAGATATATAATAAGACTTGTAGGTCAAACAAGGTACATCTAACACTGACATATGCATCTGTAAGGCGAGGAGACGTTAAAACCAGCAGACAGAAGACTGCAGTCTGTTCAAGCAGACTGGATTTGATCATAGTCAAGTCCAATATGTCAAGAAAGAGTCCACTTCCATCTTAAACAACGCACACACACACACACACACACACACACACATACACACACACGCACGCACACGCACATGAAGCTGAATACTAGTCAAATATTATTTATTGTCATCATGACAAAGATAAAAGAAATCAGTTATTAGAAATGAGTTATTAAAACTATTATGATTAGAAATGCGTCTAATCTTCCCCGTTAAACAAAGATTAGGGAATAATTCTGACCTCAACGGTACATGTATACTAACAAAGAGTGACTTACTGTAATGAAAGGCACTTTTAAATTCAATTCTCTCCCACAAACACACAGACAAATACACACACTCATCTGTCCTCCCACTGAGAGCTTCATTCAGGACAGGTGGGAGGGAGCACAGATCGATGACTGATCTCAAACATCACTGAGAAAAGCCACACGAGCAGATATAAACACAAAAAACGCAAGCAACACGCTGGGGAAATCAGTCTTACAGCTATACAGCAAAACTTATCTAGCGTTCGCAATTTGTATGCCTCCGAGGGACGTCAACACGCATTAATGTAAAACAATTCAGAATCAAAGCATTTCTGTCCCGTCTGACACACAAACCGGCAACTGTGGGCTGTTTGACATCATTAATCCAGCCTCACCGGCATGTAAATAGAGTAGAAATGCTCAATATTTATCATAGTTTCAGACTGAGGACGTTGGAAGGTTAAATGAAGGCTTTTTAAAAATATTATAGGATGAATATTCATGACTTTTAATGTCTTCAGCAAGTCATGCTGCCTTGAGAAGGCCAATATAACTGTTATTCTATAGAAACTAGGAGCAACTCAATAGACATACTAATTTAGATTTTAAAAAAAAAAACGTTATAAATATATGTTAAAAATGCAAATCAAAGGTTGTTTACGTACATTTTACAGATAAAAAATCCTGTTTAAATTCGGAATTTAAGTTTTCAGAAGAATACAATCTATAGTATAAAGTATATCTTATATCATAATCATTTTTGGTTCATTCCTTAGGAGGTCAGTAGAGCATTAATGTGTGGATGCCAAACAGAAGTCAATGTTCTGACATCAAATTGACATCTAACACTGGCGTCAAAAAAAATGTCAAAAACTGATTACAGGACAGTCCCATAATGCATTTTTGGGCACCTTGTTGTCAAAAACACATCAAAAACATGTCAAAAATGCAAATTGATTGACTTTTTTTTAGCAAGCTTGATGTAAAAAAAACCTATCAAAAATGCAAACTGATTTGATGTCAAAACCTTGACGTCTATTTGACATCCACATATCAATGCTCATTTGACCACCAAAATAACAACTCTAAGTATTATGATATAAGATTATTTTATTAATCTCAAAGGCTTAAACTATAAATTATAAATGTACAATGGATTTGTATCCCTAAAATGTTTGTAAATTGCCTTGATATCAAAACGACATTAAATAGACATCTAGTATTGGCGTCAAAAACCAAGTCAAAAACTGATTACAGGACTGACACGTTATCCAGTTTTGTGTACTTTAATGCCAAAAACACATCAAAAAGATGTCAAAAATGCAAATTAATTGGCTTTTTTTGGCAACCTTGCTGTAAAAAACCATCATGATTTGATGTCAAAACCTTGACGTCTATTTGACATCCACACACTGATGCCATTTTGATCACCAAAATAACATTATAAAGTGTTACAGGTTATTCAGCTGAAAACTTCAATCCCAATTGTACACTGGATTTTGTATCCCTACAATGCATGTAAACTACCTACATGTCAAAACGGCATCAAATTGACATCTAACGTTGGTGTCAAAATATAAATCAAAAATTGATTACAGGACTGCGCATTATGCATTTTTCTGGTCACCTTGACGTCAAAAACACCTCAAAAACATGTCAAAAATGCACATCGCATATATATGTATGTATGTATGTATGTATGTATGTATGTATGTATGTATGTATGT